TGATTTTTGATCAAACGATATACGATGAATAGACACGATTGAAGATCCCCAGGATCCTCATTCCCTAAATACGACTCCGCTTTTAAATTGAAGGTCTCATGTTGTTCGCCTCACATTAATTATGAGCTCAATACGTAATTATGACTAGTTAATTGAGTGGTTTTATCCAAATTTTGCCCCTAATAACATTTTATTAAAATAAAAAAACAACTCCCTCTCTCCTTCTTTCAGTTTTGTGGGTGTTTTGTTTGGGAGCGATTTTATCGTGACCGGGAGGTTGTTTCTTATAGTACCACGGCTTATCAGTGTCCTACATTTCTTTTCCAACTCTTTTGTCAAAGTGGCTTACATGCAGCCTTGGCCGGTAGGGTCCTATAACCTGGACACAGAATATCACAACTCTTTGGCCTCTTTGGTCACGTATTGGAAAAACTACCCCGAAGGGCAACCTTCTGTTAAAACGATCACTTTTACTCTTGGCCTTTGGGAACTTCTCACAGAGTTGCTACTCATACAGCTTCAGAAGAAAACACAGGTTTTTGTCGTACATTGAATGACCGTAAGGACTAGTGTGTGTTTTGCATTTTTCGCGTTTTTAAGTTGTGGATGAAGGGAAATTCTGCAAAGATCCAAAAGACATAAAGGTTTGGAAAGATTTTGTGTTTATATAGCTCCAAGATAGAAAAGTTGTGTCCCATCGAGATAGATATGCATAATCTATTGTTTGTTGTTAGTACCCTAGCTCCTTGGGCTTTTTTTAGGGCATAAAATGTATATCTTTATGCATAATCTATTGTTTGTTGTAGACTGACCTATGTTTCTTCATCATCTAAGTCCAACCCAAAATGAAAACCCTAGTCCAAGTGACAACAAAACTCTAAACCGGAAACTCATATTACAGTTGATCATTCAAAGATTTGGGAGCCAATATAAATCTTCTTGTGGTAGTGTACAAAATGGGACAAGGATATTATATAATAGCAAGTGGGGTTCCACAAAGAGGATTAGGCGTGAGTCCAAAAAAATCGATCATTTAGTTTTTTTTTAAATGGAAAGGGATCCTCTCCGGATTTCTTCCACCAAATTCACCAGGTCAAGAGATCTGAGCTCTTGAAATTTGATCCAACGGCTAAAAGCAGGGGTTTCCCTTTAAAAGTTATAATAACTTTAGCCGTTGGATAAAATTTCAAGGGTCCGGATTCATTGACTTGGAGGATTTGGCGGAAGGGATCCGGAGAGGATCCCCTTCCTTTTTGAAATTAGGGACCTGGTGTTGGATGTGTGAGTTAAGATTTAGTTTTGATGAGAATGGCAAGATTCACTAACTCATTGCGTTGCTGTGAAATGAGTCTTTTTATTTGTATTTGTGTCAAATAATTTTATAATTTGTTTCTCTTTAGTTAAGGGTTTTGTAAGGAGTTGTATAGTATTCAAATTGAAAATAATTTATAGTTTTCTTTTAAATAATAAATATAATTAAATTACTTAGTACCTCATTTCAAAAACTGAAAAAAGTTGAATCTAAGAAGGGAAAAGGGAGCCTAAAGTTTTGATGTTTGTATTCCACCTATCTCTTACTAGTTTTGTCAAATAAAATTGAGTTTTCTTATCATTATTGTTCCTAGCTAGCTAGGTTTTTTTTATTTTTTTTATTTTTTATTTTTTATTATTAGTCCAGTGATAGCGTTAATAAGTTAGATGTTAGATTAGTCACCGATAGCGTTTGAAATCACGTCGTCATGCAAGAGCACAATACTTTTTCACTACTGTGGTAAAGGGTCACTTGCAGCTATCTAGGGTTTAAGGCTGGTTTGCCCCATTTATAACGCAGGACGAAACAACAAAGCAGAGACCGGTGGATATGTAGGACGATCACGATGAAGTTGCTTGCTGCTGTTGACTCGGATGACTGTGCGCACGCGCGCACACACAAGAAAGTTTTAAAAGCCAGCCCGCAAGCCAAACAGTGGGTGCAATGGGCGTGGGTTTGATTCACATTCAGCAGCTTAAAGAGCCCTATAATTCCTGGTCAAAGAATATTAGTCCCCCTTCCTGCTGCTGCTGCTGCTGAGTGGTCTGAAAGTATCCGGACCAAACCCATAGCCAAAACGGTGAGTACTATGTACATATACAGAAGAAAAGAGGGGACCAACTGGAATTTTTGTCCTTCTTGGGGCATATTTTTGGAGTCTATGACAATTGTTTGTACGTGCGAGGAGGAGGAGGAGGAGGACAACAAAGAATTAAAACTCCAGGCCTCTCAGTATTTATGTCATATGTTCAACATTATCCTCATCATTCTCCTCCTCAACTAGGATGTGTCGAGTAATATGCGTGAACTGTGGAGGTTTTGGGACCTTTTGTTTTTGTTTTGGCTTCGGTGGGAACGCTTGTCCGGTACATGCAAGAGTATGGCTATATATACTTGCAGACAGCTTGGTCTTGGATGGAAATTTGGGTTAATGATTGAGTAAGACAACGCAATCCTCGGAGTCGGCGAAAATTTTGGTTTAATCGAAATCGTTGAACTGATCAAATTTAGTGTATCAATCACGACCGCATCTTGATGTATCGACAACATAGAGCTGAAATATTGGTGATATATATAGCAATTATATATTGACTGACATGCTAAAATCTTGATCATGTCAGCAATGGATGTTTAAAAGTTGATCATTTTGGGCAATTTTCCAAAGAAAAACCTCATTACTCTCACTTATATGCAATGTTTTACAAGACGCTAGGTGCTAGTTAGGTGGTAGGTTGAGGCCTAGTGCCTAGGCGGCTAGGCGAGCGCCTAAACGGACTAGGCAGATTTAAGTAAATCTTTATATTTCAATACTTCATAATATATATGTCGTTCTATTTTGTAATTTATGAAGTAATTTATGTCGTTCTATTATGTTTATACTTAAAATATATATAATTACATCATAAATTACAAAATAGAATGACATATATATTATGAAGTATTAAAACATAATGAAAACATGGGAAACAAGCATATAATTTGTGTTCATTTTAGTATTCAACAAGTTTATTACAATCTATTAAAAAAAATAATGCAAAATGAAAGTTATCTATTTTCTATCTAAGTGAGTCGCAACCTAGGCGGGGGTGTCTAGGCGTGTCTGGTCGGGTTAGGCGGTTTAGGTGGGCACCTCAACATGTCTAGGCAGACGCCTCAACAGGTCTAGGCACCATTTCTAAATTTTCAAACACCTAAGCATTAATAAGAGTGGTGACCAACCACCTAGCTCCTAGGCAGGACTTAAGCGGTGTTAAACAGAGATTTTTAGAACAGAGCTTATATGAGTGCGCATACATCAGTAGGCTATGTAAATTTGCCAATTTGGAACTGGCTTTATTCCAGAAGTTTTGTGTTTAGGCCCGTTCGCGCTAGTTGGGCTCTTTGAAGAATTATACCCACACATTTTTGTAGAAGAGATGAGGAAGTTAGATTATTACGCCTTAGTCAATCAGGTACAACTACTCTTGTAAGGTTGTAATAACACGTTTGCTAATCTAAAAATGTGAAATGAGAATGCGTATGAAGGTTCAAACTGGTATGAAAAGAAATGAAAAATCATGACCCAATCAAAGATGAAAAAGTTTTTATAGCCGCAATTAAGGTCAAAGGGTATATTTCAAAGATAAGAAAAATGTACATTGGATATATCCCTAAGATACGTTGATAAATTTGGGTGTATCAACTTTTCTATGTACTAATTCACCTAATTCAAAAAAATAGACGCATGATAGTTTCTCTAGCAGTCATACTACTGCCCCCATTTTAAGTGTCAAATTCCTCCCGATTCGTAAACTAAATTCTTTCAATTTCTTGATATTGTGGCATTGGTATAAGATTAAAAATTTAAATTAGTCCTTTGACTGGACGTCCACCTCAGATTTAACATTAAAACTCCTATTTTATTGGTTTTAATGTTTTTGTGTGTATTTTAGTTCCTAAAATACCCCATAATTATATCACTATGAAGATACATCTAAAAATAATAGAGACACCGAATAAGAAATTCAGTTACATATCAAATTAAAAAAACGAATGTAATTATTGATTAGAATTCAAAAAAAAAAAAAATTATATCACCATGAAAGAAAACTCAAGAAATCAAATTTTAATGAATACATAATACCAAATAAGTAATATAATGTACCTAAACCATGGTACCTATATCACAGTATCTATATCATAGTATACCTAATGCATGGTACCTCCAAATTAAAAGGACCTAATCAGAATTTTAACATACCTAAACCATGGCACCTATGTTGGATTAGTGTACCTCACTTCTACAGTGTGCTAAAATATGGATTAGTGTACCATGTGCAGTACAAATATGCAAATCATATACAAATATCGAACTAATGTATCATGTATTCAACATACTAAAAACTTAATTATAACACCCACAACATACTAAAAACTTAATTATAACACCCACCACAGAGCTAAACCCTAAAAAACACCCACACGATTTTAGTGGAAATGCTAGACAAAGAAGCAAATCTGCACAACACCATAAAAAGGGGCAATGAAAGATTCATACAACTGAACCTTCGGGTTTAAAATGAAAAATGCAGCACTCATAACTCGGCATTTAAAAGTGGTGATTTCCCAACGTCACATAAGAGCAATGTAGGAAAAGTTGAATCAAGAAAACCATCCAAACAAATAAAAGCTGATGTGGATAATGTATGTTGACATGGACGTAGAGTCAAAGAACTATAAACAATATTTAATCTTGCATAAAGACATTTTTCTAACTATAAATTTATCCAAGGATTAAAATCACATTTTCTATAAACATAATTATAATCTAATACTATATTTTAATACTAATTCTGGATAAGTAAATGCATGCGCATTGGGTACTGACATCTTACACGCATTAAGAGAAGAGACGTCGTGAAGATGGCAAAACAAATGCGCAAGGGATATTGACATTTTTCTCAAATCAAGAGGAGATATGGTGAGGATATATAGCCAAGAATGTATTGGGTTGCGTGTATAATCTATACGAAAGAATGAATAAGATTTTTTTTCATCTAAACTTTCAACAAATCGAAACAAAGAAAACGAAAATCTCTATACACAATTACAATCAAATTCAACGAAATTAGTGACGGCTAAATTTAATCAGATTGCCACTATTGTCGCTGTTGTCGATGTACTCACATGATTCACCGTTGAATATCCCACCTCCGCAACCTCACTACCCAAACCCGCAGCCCATCTCCTCAGAATCCTCAACAGCGACGCTGCCTTCCGCCTCGCCCTCACCGTCCCCACCCCCATCAATTCCCATATCACCCTCTCAATCTCCGGCATTGACGCCAATTCCGCCACCATTTCCGATCCCCCTTTTCGACAAATTGTCACCAGCGTCGCCGCCGCGCTCTCCCTCGCCCTGTCCGACCCTTCTCTCAACACACTTGCCAATTTCCTAATCGCGCCGTACGCGGCGGCAACGGCCACTAGTCCGCCGCTTCTCACCACAATTTCCAACACAGTCACCGCCTCCTCCGGCAACCCCTCCATCACTTGCAAGGTCGTCTCCACCACCCCACCTTCCACCAATCTCGCCACTGCCTCCCTCTCTCCCGCCAAATTCAATATCGCCACCATGGCGTCCTTTTTAAAGCATCCGTGCTCGGGTCCATCCCTCGCCAGCTCCACTAACCCGTTTATGACGCGTGTCTTCCTCCCCAGTCTCTTCCTGTACCCGTGCACACCTGATAAACTGAATATCGTAGCCGCCGCATTCCCCTTCGCCTCCCACGTGGCCCCCGACCTCAGCACCTCGATGATGCCGTTAAGAGCTCCGTCCGTCTCCATGATCCGCGTTTTGTTCGCTTCCAAAAGAGAAAGGTTTAGAATCGTCGTCACGGCGTTAACCTGCAGGTTCGGACGGGCCCCACCGACGTCCGCGCCAAGGTACCGTACGAGCAAAGGGATAGCCCCAGCTTCCGCAATGCAGGCGCGACAGTCGGCGTCCGTCTTCGCCAGACTCCGGAGCTCGTAAACGACGCCGTTCGCCGCCTCCATGGACTGAGACACCGAAAGCTTATTGACCAGAAACGACGCCGTCATTCTAGTAGCTTCGAGCGCGGCCTTGTTCTTTTTGATGGCGTTGACCAGCCCCTTATTAGTCTCCGCGGTTTCGAAAGGGATTTTCTGCTGGCGGCACCACATGGCGATGAGATTTTTCAACGCGCGGTTGGGGATGAGCTCAGTGTGGCCCAGGGTCTGACCTGTCTTGGGACACGTGTTATGACCCGCTTCGATCCACAGCTTGATGGACTCACGATCGTACGTCTGCCCGGTCGCCACGGTGACCGGGTCCCGCATTAGCTCCAAACTGATCGGGCACCGGAAATCCGCCGGGAAACTTAATTCCGACGCCGATTTAAGGCGGATTAGGTCCGATACCGGCGTGGATGCTCCGAATAACACGCACTTACCGTAGCGAACGAGTCCGACGAGGGCAACGAGCTGCGACTTGGATTTCTCCTCCGTCTGGTTCTGGAACTCTTCCTGGAGGCTCTTAAGCTCCTCTCTGCAATCCGAAGCATCGCGAATTCCCAATTGCGTGAAAATATCGGAGAGCTTGGAGTGGTCGGGAACGATCTCGCTCCTGAGGCGGTCGAGTATGGAGCAAACCTCGAGGCGCAGGCCGTCGTCTCTTGGATCGACAAACGACTTCGTGGTGCTGCGGGAGCACTGGGTGCGGAGGAGGGAGACGACCTCTTCTACGTCGTCGTTTAATCGTAGCTCCTTGACGGGGAGGATGTCGAGTAAGGTGGAGAGGTCGAGGGTGAGCTCGTGGAAGCTGTTCGCTAGAGACTCGGTCTGGAGGAGGAGCCACATCCGGCTGCCGTTGGAGGAGTCTTCGAGAAGGGTCTGGATCCTCTGGAGCAGGATGTAGAGCTCCTGGAAGCAGAGGATGACGGAGTGGGAGAAGACGGCGGTGGAGCTGCGGATAATGTCTTCGAAGAAGATGGAGAGGAGGGTTGACCTGCGGATCACGGAGAGGGAGGTGCGGCGCAGGAGGAACTGGAGCGGCTCGAGGGAGGAGATTTCTTGGGAGAGATGGTGGAGGGAGCGGAGGAGGGTCTGGTCGGAGAGCTTGGGCGATATGAAGGCCCCCGCCGAGGGCTGGCGTTTTCGCGGCGGAAATGCTTGCGGAGATATTGCCATGAACAAATCAAATGAATGAATCAATGAAGCAGTAGATTGTTTATCGATGATTAAAAAAATGATAGGAAAATAGGAAAAAGATAAGGTGTGGTTATATGGGGGAAAATGGACATGGTATTTGACTGTATTTGGATATATTGGTGAAGTTGATAAGCAATGGAGTTGAAAGGGTAGGAAGCAGGTCTTTGTGATGAGAGAGAGAGAGAGAGAGAGATAGAGATAGAGGAGAGAGAGAATATTATTTAGTTATGGTATCGTCGGATGGACAACAAAGATGCAGCCAAAGTTGGAGGGCGGAGAGGAATTGAAGCCGTTGGATGATTGGATACAGTCCACAAAATATAACCAAAACCAAATTGATAAGCTGTGGTCTTCTGTTTTGAATGTTTTAACTGCCGCCCGCACCTGCACGGTATTTGAACTCTCGTCTAGAAGAGGCTAAAGAGCTTGGTTTGTCTAGGAGCTAGTAACAAACCCACTTTGGGACAATAGCCCATGTATTTCTTTTGAAAAAGTAAAATTTACGACATATGATTTCATGTCTTCAAATGTAAGTCATTCGTTACGAGAAAACATCTTACATAAAAGAAATTCACAGTTACATGACATTTTCGTTTAATAGTGTAGTGTCATATAGAGAAATGTACATATGACATTGCATTATTGGTTGAAAATATTACGATAACAGTAAAATGGTTTCGTGTAAATCCTTTTCTCCCATTCATGACTTCGCCATTGCAAATCTACAACGCATCCCCAATGATTTAACCACCTAAATGTGCCTAATGCAGGTTTCACAACATGTAAACGACGACTCACGGTCATCCACAATGACTAAAAGTTAATGGCTCATAGTCGCACTTAATTAGGCAAATGATTTTGGCGTAGTTTTACAAAGGGTAACGACTTATATGCAGCCGTCTTTCCACCGTCCGCAGTATCCAAACTCAATAGTTTACAATTTAATATTAGGGTCAGTGAAAAAAACAAAAGAGGAGAAGCCCTAATCTGACTATATCCTTTGCATGGATGAACTGGTAAGCATTCATCCGATATGGGATGACATGGCATCGCATCGGAAGGCGACGGTAGGTGGAGAGTTGTTAGTGGACTTGGCTTTCCATCGTCATCCACATGCCATCTGCCAATCAAAAGAATAATAAAATAACAACAACAACAATAATAATAATAATGTAATATTCTTACTGTAATTGCATCATTTCATTTGCTTCCCACTTTTCTTATTTAAGTTGGAAATCGGTTGGCAAAGGCTTTTCCTTGTCCCCGACGTCATGGGGTTTGATATAAGCCTTCATATATAAGTTTGTCCATAAAAGAAGAACAGTGCTAGGAAGATGATGCTGGGCTGACTGAAAAGAAACGAAATCAAATGATAGGTAGGTGAAAAAAAAAAAAAAACGATGGGTAAAGTTCACTGTTTCTGAGTGCGAGGAGAGACCATAAAATCTCGAAAAAGTCTGTTCTAGTCTTCTAAACATTCCCACCTAGCACCGTCTAAACCCGCCTAGGTAGTGGCGGATCCAGGATTTTAAACTCGGGAGGTCCCAATAATAAAGGTAAAAAAATTTATAAATAAAAATAAAATTGAAAAGTTAAATATAATACATTTCATTCAAAAATCATGTGCAAGACAACATTACAAGCTATAAAATCCTAATTCAAATGTCCACAACGAGGTTATATAGTCTGAAAATGTTCCATGACAGCTTCATTACCAATACATGAAAAAACATCTTTCTCAATGTAAACAACTAAGCTGTCACTCAATCATTGATCTCCCATTTTGTTGCGAAGTGGACCCTTAATGATATTCATAGCGGAAAATGCCCTCTCCACTAAAGCAGTTGCAACTGGTAAAACCAAAGCCAACTAAACAAGCAAATATACATATGCAAATGTTCGATGAAACCCTTTCTCCATCATTTTCTTAGCAAGCTCATTTAATCCCCCGCAATTGAGAAAAATCATTATCATAACGCACAAAATGAATGTAAATATCAAGTTGATCTTGAAGTGCCGATCTATCTCGATCTGTAAATATCAAGTTGATCTTGAGCTCAAACTACCTGAACAAGTAAACGGTGCTATTGGCTTTGGCTTGAAAAATCTTTCCATATTTCTTATTTCTTATTTCTAAACTACACATTTAACCAAAAACACAAAACAAATACCAATCAACCAATAAACAAAAATTCCATCTAAATTTCAATTATAAAATGAGTATACAAACATAAAACATATCAACAATCATATCAATAATAGACTAAATATCTCCACCAATATCTAACATAATTTAATTGAGATTATATTAGAATACCAAAAAACTTACTTGAATTTTGAACCAAATAGTGGTGGCTTGGAGAATTGAAACAAGTGGAGGTATGATATTGGAGTAATGTAATTATAATATGGGATTGGGTTGGATTAGAAATTTAAGGTTTTGGGTGAATATAAGAAAGATGAGGATTAGGGGGAAAAGCAGAGGAACAGAATGGGGGAAAGGAAAGGGAAGGGACTCTTGGGAATGAGCCCATGTGGGGCTAGGCATATGGAATCAAGGACAATTGACAAACGGCACCGTTTGTCTCATTAGTTTTTAACAAAAAATAATAATAAACAAATTGACCAAAACATTGCGTTTTGGACCAACCTTTTAAAAAACCATGTTTTCTTTCTTCTCCCCCGCAGCCCCACTGCACAGACCTCGTGTTCTCATCGTGGGGTCCCCTGGAAAATTTCTAGCAGCATTTTAGGATTGCTGAGGGGTCCTGGGACCTCCCAAGTCCCTCTGTGGATCCGCCTCTGCGCCTAGGCATCCACCTAGTTGCGACTCTCACTTCAATAGAAAATCAATCTCTTTTATTTTGCATTTTAATTTTTCAATAAAATATAAGAAACTTGCTAAATACTTGGACGAATGCTCATTATATGCTTGTTCTCCATGTTTTCAATATGTTCTAATACTTTATAATTTATATATCATTTTATTTTGCAATTTATGTATCTAATATAATTACTTGTGTCTTTTAAGTATAAACAAGCATTTATTTATATAATATATAATAAATTTACTTAAAATCGCCTAATCCGCCTAGGCCCCCACCTAAGCCCCGCCTAGCCGTCTAGGTGTTAGACCCCAACTCGCCACCCGACTAGCGCCTAGGGTCTTTTAGAACCTTGGTTCTAATACCACCCTACAGTTGCAAAGAACTAGAAAACGAAGTTGAACAATCTCACAAGAGAAAGACACAAAATGAGATAGAACTCTCTATGAATATTTCATACGTCCCATTCTCCCGCCTTCCAACAAGAAGTGAGTTTTACAACCATTTTGTAACATGTATTCATAAATGAAACAGACAATAAACTTAAAGTGAAACTGAAAATTATATAATTAAATTAATCTGATCATCCAAAAACACCTTGGCTTTTTTTTCTTCAAAAGACTACATGTTTATACATATTTGGCGTACTACACATACGGCAAGTGATGCATATAATCAACATTTAATAAAATAAATTTATTAATTGACACGACATGTACACATCACTTGCCATATCAGATGGTACAAAACGTAATCTTCTTTAGAAAAGCAAGATATTGATTTAACTGAATTGATTGTTGCTTTATCTCTAATTAGAAGTCACATTTCTAGTTTAATTTTAAGGTTCTTTTGTATAAATAGATGGAGATGGAAACAATGTATTAAAGTTGCAAAAGCAACAAAAGATGGTAGGGTTAAGATCATAAGATACTTTGAGTTTTAAAACCCTAGCCTAATTCAAGACAAAAGCAACAGACAAGATTATGATTTTACTTGATAATATGGTTTGATGGTTTTTGAGTACAATTTCTTACGGTGTTTAAATACTCACATCAAGCCTTATCTTCAAGATAAAAATAAAATAGCAAATCATCAAAATCCTAAAATCTGTTTTCTTAAAATACATATTTAGAAAGTCAGGTGTTTGATTCACTATCATCGTATTTTCTCGGTTTATGTTCTTTCCTCTGTTTTGGTACCTTGTTTTCTATTTCATGTTTCAAGAGAGTAAGATTTATGTCCATCTTCCTCCTCTCCTCATCTTTTCTTGTATTTTTTTTTCTCGTTTTATGAATAGTATAGTTTATGTCCCTCTGCCTATGTGTGATTTATCGTTTTCTCAATAAAACTCCCTCGAAGAACCCCCGAGGTTTTCTAAAAAAAGAAAAACAGAATCTTAAAATAGGTATTGGACTAGCAAATTTCGTCAAATTGCCATAATAATAAAACCTTTAAGATACTTATTTGTGTCGGCGTTTCCTTGCAACGAAGAATTACACAAAATATGACCCTAATCGGACATTGAATACCCCCAATTTTTAGAATTCTTATAACTCGTTTTTCTTAGACATGCGCATGTCGAGTTGTTGCACAATTCCGCCCACGAGCTGTTTCCACATCATGCATGCTACGTACATACTTTATTTTGATGTATTGGTGCACCGAATTTTTTCATGCTCTTGTCTTTATCAACCAAAACCTGAAAAGATTATTCCCAAAACCAGACTCACTAAAATCCTATTATTTCTTTGTTTTTGTACCAAACAGCTCATCTCACATGCACAATTTGCACACGTCTCTAAAAGGAATACGCGCTCTGTGACCTTCGTTCTACGTTCTCTCTACGAGTACGAGCTAGATGCTGTGTTACCGACATCATATGAGATAAACTAATTTAACTAGTCAACTACTTAATAAGTGATTAGATTAATATGGCTGTTTTGGTTCGTCTCAACCACCTTAATCATATGGGTGATTGAAAGAAGGGCACACGTGCCCTTTAAACTGAGGGCCAAGTCTACTACTTGGCCCTCAACAGTTATTAATATTATCGACAAACACTTAAAAAAATCAGATCGTAATAGAAAAGAAAAAAAAAATCACTTATCAATTGGTATATGTTAGCTCCGGGCATTGGAAATGCAAACAACAATTGAACTAGTTTACTTACTTTAAACTTGAAGTAATTAGAAAACATAGAATACGGATGAGTTACTTCACTAAGGGAGAATAGGTCCCTTATTTTGGAAGGTACAATCTTTGAAATAACTTTTAAGTAAGATTGTTCTGATCAGCTTTCCCAGCAAAAAATTAGTACTTCCCACCTCAGAGCTTAACCCCGATATTTTCAGGTTAAGCTCTACCTGGATTAATTCGTATAAAAAACAATTGGTTAAAGGGTCTAACAGTGTTTTAAGTGTTTTTAACTATAAACTGGAGTGCTTGATAATACTTCTTCATGAACACTCCAATTAATACATGCATGGTTGTTTTAGCCCTATTCTCCTTGATGAATATTTTACTTGCTATATCTTGACACACCTTTGTTAAACGGATCAGCTATATTTTCCTTTGATTCAACATAATCAATGAAAAATATTCCACCGAAGAGCAAATTTTTAATATTATTGTGCATTCGTCTTATATGTCGTGGCTTTCCATTATACACTTTATTCTTTGTTTTTACTCTCTTGTTACTTTTCTTCTGACGAGGGAATTTCTCTTTCATGTTTCTCCTTCAATGACTTGAGCCTTGGCTTCCATAGATGAAGCCACACCAATCTTCTCACTTATCTCCTTCAATACGAAGTCTCACAACCAATTCCACCATGGTCAGCTCCTTATGATTGTGTTTCAGATAGTTTTTGAAGTCTTTCCATCCATGTGGCAATTTTCCTATGACAGCAGCCACATGAAAATTAGAGAGAAAGTGGATTGGAGGTTTAAAGTTGTTTATTTAGAATTGTAGACTTTGATGTGAGAGAGAGAGAGAGAGAGAGAGAGAGAGAGAGAGAGAGTTTATTCAGAATTTCATACTTTGGGAGCATGGTGGAGCCATGGCAGAGGGATGAAGGACGATGGGGATAGAAAGTGGCTGTTTGGATGTGCGTTAACAAGAGTAAAGGGGTGATTAGGGCTGTTTCTATTCGAACTCACGGTTTTTTCCATTCAAAACTCCAACAAGTAACACTTGGCGCCCGTGGGTTTTGAGCTGCATGTAACCAATTGGTTCGGCTGCCCCAAACACATCAGCACTTTGAAGCCATCGACAACATACGACATGACACTGCCAACTGCCAAGTTTGGTTAATTACAAGGCCAGCTGTGTTTTATATTAAGCAGGCACTTAATATTCAATCAGAGCCAGTGTTTTGGACAATACAATGACCTAATCCGATCTAGACAAACCAATAGTATGATAAAGACTCTGCTTCAAATACAAGAGCATCAAAATAGAACCAATATTTGGAACCGCAGAGAAACTGTCATAGCTCAGTGTTAATTGGTTACCCGTCTAATCAATATCTGTAATGAGCAACTTACATGACATGAGTACATCGTTATTATATCACTGAAATAACGCCGCGTAGAGAGAAACTGATGCATGCATTGTATCATTCACATAGGATATCACGGTAGTAGTGTACCGGTGTCATGAAAGTCTTTCTCCTTAAGTAGCTCCATTTATGGTTTGTTATCCACCTATTAGGTCTGGAATGCCTCCTAACCTAAGAGCTTAGGGCATACTTAATTTAATCTCAGTTGAAGATGATGAGGTCACAAACTCAACTTATCATCCATCATGACACTGATTGCTCTCTAGTCTCTACTTGGTTGCAAGTTTACGCCACAACACTCCGTATCTGATCATGATCGCAAGCAGTAATCAATCTGCTAGCATTGGAAAAGAAAATTTTAAAAACTAAATTTGGTTCATGCTCCACTTCAATTGCTTCATATACAAGTGACACTTTTTGTTCTTGATTAGTCAAGACACCGCAGACAGCTTACCATTTACCATTTCTCCAATTGGGGAGCATGATTTGATGTTTCTCCTATTGGGGAGCATGATTGATGAGTTCCCAATACAATGTGAGCATCTCCAAAATGTTCGAAGTTGTGAATTCTCGCAACCTAAAATCGACAGAATAAAATCTAAAGTTGAACCAACCCAATTTAGTTGGGATGTGTAAGTTTAGATTGATAATTCTGGCCTTTTTGAATTTAAATACTATCCGACACTTGGCCCAAATGATATATTGGTAACAAATACTTAACAGGCCCAAGCAATATATGCAACTGCCCACAACATTCAATACACTTTTTATATATTACAAAAAAAAAAAAAAAAGAGAGCTATCATCTCATCATGCATTCAGTCCTCTTGTAACAGGGATGCAAGATGTACTGGAGTGCTAATTTTGAAGACTAGACAATAATCTATTAGCAAATGCCAACCGTATTAGACAACGAAATTGAAATATTAGGTTTGGGAAGCCAATTTATTATCCTCTACAAGGTTTGATTTGCGATAAATATGTTGAACTCGAGTAGCAGGCTAGCAGCCATTAATAAATTTTTTTTTTGCATGAAGCGACAAAATGATTTGATCAATAAAAACTAAACGATTACAATTGATGACAAATGAGTACAACTTCTTTAGTGACTACCAACAAAACTTTCAATTTGTTCATACCTAGAAGAGAAATTTGCAGTCATTCCCTTTTCC